TGTCAAATGTTTATGATAAAAAATTAGACAAGTACTTTTATAGAAGCATGATTTCACAATTTAATTTTTAATAGTGGTTGCAAAGCTTATATATTAAAATAATATGAAATTTATAATGTATGTTTAGTATATGATATAGAGGTAAAAGTTAATATAGCTGGTGTTGAAGCATATTCATCTGGTTGAGTGTAGTCATTTACAGGTGAACTCCCAATTGGTAATAATGTCCCTGCTATCCAGATGGATAAGCTCAGTCTTTTTCTGACCTTCAACTTAATACCTAGCAGATACTTGCACAGGGTTTATGATTTTTATATTAATCTGCAGAATACAAGTGAATAAGCAGTTTTTTTTGCTCAAGTAAGCTAGCTATATTTTTATAGCAAAATAGATAATAATGAATTTGATTTTATATGATACTTGACAAATTACAAACACTATTAAAAATATATCTAGTTATAATAATAAATGATTTGTTTATAAAGACATAACTTACAGATCAACTTATAGAATCTTAAATGTTGATTGGCTATATATCACGTGAGCAGTATATGACATATTTTGTTTACTCAAGCTCAAGTAACTACATAATTCATTATATAAACATTTTTGTATTCAGAATACTTGCTTTATCAAAATAACTAAAACATGTTAAGAAAAACAAAAAAGTTTCTTGTTAAATCATATAAATCCTCATTCTTCTAATTTTTATAAGAGATTTAATTATTGTAGTCATTTAAATGCTTGCCAGGATTATGAATTGCAACTAAACTAGACTTTGCAAGAAGCTTCACAATCAGAAAATTATTAAATTTAAAAAAAAGCTAAAAAAATCATAAATATGATAATGACTGGACTTGTTATAAGGATGAAAAAAATATCTGGAGAGCTGATATATATTAATTTTTATTTAAACTTTGCAAACTGAGCTTGGTACTCACAAAACCAATATCAAATAATAGAAAAAAGTAAAAAGAGAAAAACTTAAAATATATGTTGCATTTAATAAAAATTTGGATAAAAGGTTGAATATTAAAAAATCATCTAACAAATTGGCATCATCTTCTAAAGATCATAGTAGAGCTTCAAAAAAAACTACCAATAGACAGTTTAAAAGCCAAATTGGTAATATCAATAATAAAGATAATGAGGATAGTAGTAAAACTGAAGTTAATAAAGTAAGTAGTTTGTAACAGAATTAAAACAAAAAATATTTGTAAATTATTGTTTTTTCATTGTGTAGATAAGGTAAAAAAATAATATTTTCACAAATTATATAAAGGCAAAACATCTTGCAATTAAAGAATCAATCTGAATGAATATAATGCTTCGTATCTATCAAGAAGACAGTGCTTCAATTAAGAAAAAGAAGCCTTCTTCAACCAATATAACCAAGTATAATATAAAAAAGTCAATACCTGTTGAGAAATGCAAAAAAATAGATTATGTAAAAACAATAAAGTAATGCTAGTATATTTCAATTGCTTTGAATTTAATTATTAATTGTAGTATTTTGATTTAGCAAAATAGAAACTCATCCAATTCACAAATACCAACGATAATAGTATAAATGAAGATGAAATAAAAATTCCTAATTTGACCGAATTTGATAGTATATATCATAACCTGAATCCACAAAAAATGTAGAGGTTAAAGAGTAATACCATTGTTGAAAAAGTTATATATAAACATGCACAAAACTTGACATATAAATTGTATCTGCTTTTATTTATTATAAGTGATGTTGACAAAGAAGCAATGTTTTTATTTAGCAAAGAAGATTAGAATAAAATATTCTCTTTTAAAGTTAAAAAAATGCCAAACATTGATTTATCAATTATTAATCATATAAAAAAGTACTCAATAACAGACTTATCAAAGTTTTGAAAAATTATTTTTGAATCTTTTCTGCCTACTAGCATATCATATTCTAACAAGGAGTATTTTGATTTAAATTACATTAATCTTGCATATAAAATTATGCATATGTTTTGGGAAGCCAATAACAACTTTACTTTGGACTTATCAAAATTAGAAGGATGGTATCAGTTAAATATATGAGGTCCACTTATTTCATAATTCAAGCTTTAATTTAATACAAGTTGATAGAATAAGTAAAGCTTCAAGTGAT